AACATTCACATAAGGGTCTTTGCTCCAGGTACGTTCTTGGAAAGTCCCCCTTTCTTTACTAGTACTGCCAGTATTTATTTAATTGTGATGGTAGACTCCTCCATGATAGACATTTAAAGCCTCTTAAAAGAGGGATTTGTAAACTTTCACAGTTCTAGCTCCATATATACAAAAATTCTAACTGAAACAATATTTTTCAAAGGATTTGATGGGCTTCTTCTGTCTTAGCCTTAGCACAAGGAATTCTTTCTTTACCCAGTGATGCTAACTGTTCCACACATGTGGTATAGTTGGTGCTTGGAAATTTTTAGACAATGGTATAGTGTCAACAATCTGGATGCAAGGGGAACGGTGTTACTGTAAAGGACATTTATTTGAGTGTCGACTTGTTTCCAGACACTCAATGAGAATTTCACAAGGGTCCCACATCTGCCAACCAACATGTTGACACCTTTATTGTTGAAGTCTTTAGTCCTTTGCACTGTAAAAGCTTGCACAATTGTAAGGTATCACTTTAGCTGCTCTGTTACTCATCTATTCCTTTCTCTGACACTCAAATATGTACCACTCAGCTGATAAAAGACACCTAGAGTAATTTCTTCTTTTCTCTATCCTCAAAGTCTCTTTTCAATGTCTAGTTTTGGACATTACATGTCACAGTCTTTTGCTTAATCCCATTTATACTGATACAGTGGTTTTATTTATATTGAGTTTTTATTCTCTGTTCCCCAAATTTATTACCAATTTTTAGCAGGTATAGCCTCTTTCAATTCTATGACTTAGAACAACAGGATTTGTTATCACTGTTATAGACTGGATAATGGGAATCACAGATCAGCCCATTCATAAGGAACATAACAGCTTCATAGGATTCATTTCTTCCCCGGCCTCATTATGGAGTAGTAATAGAGGATTTTAAAGAGGTGGTGGTGGTGGTGGTGGTGGTGTTTGTGTTGTGCTTGCGCGCGTGTAGAGAAGAATTCATATTTTACTGTTTGAAAACCTTTTAATTAGCCAGTAATTAATTTACTCAATTTATGCACCTCCATGTATATGCACCTACATGCTTAAAAAATAGAAAATATAGGGCTGAGAATATACTCAGTGATACAGTCTGCCTGCCAAGCACAAAGTCGTGAGTTTGATTCCTGATACAAAAAAGCGAATATAATTACTTGCATATTTGTGCACATATAAAAGCATAATATATATGTAAGATAAAATACATAAAATGATGGATGTCATACTTACATGAGTTATTTTAATCAGAATTTGAAAATTAGTAATATATTTCATTATGATGCTGTGTCTGTACAGTGCTTTCCAAACTATCAAGAATTTTATTATACCCATAGCCTTTTTTTCAAGTGTCCCTTTGTGTGGTTTTTAGGTTTTACAGATATACTTCAGCTATTTAAAATGCTCCAATGAGCACGCATATAAATATGTCTCAAGTCATTTGTTCAATGACATTTCTCTTTTGTGTGTGTATGTACTGGGTCTCAGGCCTGCAAGGCATGTGTGTTATCCTTGAACTATATCCCAGCCCCGTCCACTGGTGTCTTCACAATAAATCTTTGAAAAAAGTAATATTAGGTCAAGGGCTGGCACTTTTGAATACATGTGCCGTATATTGGTTTTCAGAGGGGTCATATCAAATAGTGCTCTCAACAGCAGTTTATAAAAGTGCTTTTTCTCTACACTCTTGGCGCTACTGGGTGCTTTAATTCAGTTTTTAATTTAAAGAGCAAAGAGGCAGCATCTCACAGGCCCTGAGATTTCCCTGAGTAAAGCTATATTTGATTTATGGTGAAAGATTTTTAACCAGGGCTTGAATCATGGGAATGTGGGCATGTTTGTTCTATGACCAAGAACTGTGTGAATCAGATCTAATAACCATTTCAGTCACTACCAATATAGCCAGATTTCAGAGACAACCAAACTGGAAAAACCTATGTTTTTTTATTAGAAAAAATTCCCATGGTTATGATAATGGTAAATATCATTTAGCTCTCTTTAGACTAAAGCAATAACATTGCCTCACTTGGAATTACATTATCTCATTTGAGACATTGGGGGATCTAATTTATTGATGTTTCCAGAAATAAATATAACTCTATTTGTCTCTAAATAAAAATGTCAATCATAAAGCAACAGCTCGTTCACCTTACCCATGTAGATGTCTACTTTTTCTATATGATCTAAGAACCTGACAAGTCTATTTAAAACTTTACATGTTCCAATCTGTTGCCCCGTCCATTTTACAATCATTTAGAGCCCAATAATTCTCAGTCCTTCTATTAGCAAGGAGAGGTTAGAATAAATTTCAGTACTGATAAGGCCAGTTCCCACTAGAGTAACAACTCTCTGTCAAAATTCTACATTCCTGTTCTTAGGCCAGCAGGAGAAGAGTTATGACAGTTAATCAAGTAGCTGGTTGTGTTTTCTAATCTCTTCTGATTTGTAATAAATTCTTAGGAAAAATTCTTGGGAAATTTCTCTTACTGCCCAAACAGAATTTGTTATAAATTTACTTTGTAGTTTCTAAATGTCATTTCTTGAATCTCAAAGCAAAATTTCAGTGAGAATGCTCACATCACTATTTAATTTCAGTATGTTATTGAAACCACATAGCCTTAAACCTCTGAGATTAATCATTTAGGATCAACCAATTGGAGATAGATTCAAGTTTGTCTTAAACTGCTAGTTTTGCTTAATTATTATTTTGGTTTCTTTTACATGCTTAAGGAAGTATGTGGTAAACACTTTAGTAACATAAAGAAAAGAGAAAAAACAGTTGTTTTATAAATTACATGGGCAAATATATATATTTTGAAAATAATTTCATACATTCATACATAATATTCATAATTAATCTCAATATTAATTCAATCATTTATTCAACTTATAAGTCAGCTGGGGATTTAGCTTAGCAGTATAAGTGCCTGCCTGGCAAGCATGAGGTCATGAGTTAGATTCCCAGTAACAAAAAAAAAAACTTTTTTTAAATAACTTTCATGATATATTTACTAAATGTCAACAGTGAGCATGTTTGGCTATATATGCTCTAGAGAAATGGGATCTTAATAATAGGGTACTAAATGAGGAACTGTATTTGTTTCTTTCTGGAGCAGGAAGCCCTACAGAACCAGGTCCAATACAATAGATTTTCTCCTTTGCTACAAATGCCAAACCTGCAGGACAAGTTACCAAACACGACCGAATCCTTACCAAAATATTCTAAGCTTCCTTCTTAATGACCTTAAATCTCAGATGAAGAAAAACAGATATGGAAGAAACAAAGTCTACACATTCTAGAGGCAGTACCAGGTTGAGAATATTGAGTCCTGATGCCTTCTACATATTTGTTTTGCCTCAGAATATGCTTCCAAACCCTTCATATATTGTTTTTCTTTATGTATATGATTGTTTTTCTATGCTTTCAGTAAAAATTTCATCTTTGGCTTTCTTTTGATCAATATATAAAATTCCAGCTCACAAATGTTTTATTAAACATGGGTCTTAAATGCCCATTGAAACAAGTACATCAAAGAATTAGCTAAGTATCTAGTACTTTCCCTCCACACTCTTTAAATAAAACTTAAATAGTTTAATATTTACTCTGCAGAGTAAACTTCCATTTCTTCAAAAAACAGTCAAGATCACAAATGGATAGTGGACTTCTAGGTAGCGATCAGTTGTGTGATAATACAGAAAGTATGCCCTTTGAATTTTGAAAATACAAGACTTTTAAAAGGAGATTGGCAGCAATCTGACTTGTTTCTTTTTTGATAGTTTCTTTCTTTTTTTACTGACAATTGAACTCAGGACCTTGCGCTTGCCAGACAGGTGCTGTGCCACTGAGCTATATCCCCGGCACTGTTTTTTTTTTTTTTTTTAATTATTTTTAATAAAATACAAATATTTATTTTTAATACATATTTACAGTGTGTAGTGAGTATATTTCTCATAAAGGGCGTACATATACATAATATATTATTAAAATCATTTCTCATTTCCTTCCCTTTCCTAGCCCTCTCTCTCTCCATTTCTCCATTTCTCTTTTGCAAACAATCTACCACCCTGTTTTCTATTGCCTGTCTTTTATTTTGTTTTTGTTTATATTTTGAATTTCTCATGTAAATGTAATGATATAATATTTAAGCTTGAATGTCTTATTTATTTCACTTAAACATATGATCTCAAAATGAATCCATTTTCCTACAAATAATTCATGTTTATCTTTTTTTTTTTTTAAAGCAGAGTAGTGTAGTACTGTGTTCAAATAATATGGTTTCTTTAAGTATTCATTTGGGCTATTTTTTGGCCAAATTTATTCTTCTTAGAGGAGGGGAAATCTGAGTGCAGTGACTATCTCTGTCACCCAAGAGAAATTTTCTTAATATAGTACCAGGTTACAGAAATTTCTATGAAACTACTAAAGAGTGCTTTTTCTTATTGGCTTTTCTTATCTCTTCAGTATGACAAGGTATAATACTCATTCTCCATTTTTAATTCTTTTCCATCTGTGAGTAACTCCATTGTGTTATCTCCCCTGGTCCTTTTTACTTCCTTTCCTTATTTTCTCTTTGGTCAGTAAAGTAGCCTTTCTGATGAACTTTTAGGCCGGATTTTGTTACCTGGTTTAACTTGTTCTTTTCGTTTTTAGAACAGGCTGCTTGCAGGAAGATGCACAGGAGGCTGCTGCTCCAAGGAGAGTCAACGCAACAGACTTCTGAGTGCAGGAGCCTGAAGCTGCCAGCGCTTTTTGGCAGTAGGGGAAAATGATCTGCCTAATGCTGGGATTAGCTATTAGTTCATTTTTGCTATATACTGAAATGTTGTTAAATATTGACCGCATGGTTGAGAATAGTGTTGGCTGCCTCTCCAATTGTCTATCTCCTCTTGTCTATTCTTTTGTGTTACTGAACCTCACTTTTTTCTTACATTGAACAACTAAAATGAATGCATCAAGAATATCAGGAATCCTTGTAACTTACCCTATTGAAATGTATCCAACGCGTCCTTGTCTTCCTGAGAAAAGTCAATGAATTTAAACGAATGCTCTGGATTTCTGCAGAAAATATTCCTTTACATCTGCAATCATAAAACACAAATAAGTTTTATGAAATCATACTACACAAGTGATGATAAACTAGAATTACACATTTCTGAGCTCCAAACTGCTATAATTCCCCCACAGAATTTTAAAATTTGGAATGATATAATACTATATCTAGTGTGTGTGTGTGTTTGTGTGTGTGTGTGTGTGTGTGTGTGTGTGTGTGTGTGTGTGTATAAAATCTAGAGGTGGGTAAAATAAAACAACTACATATATACAGAAATATAGCCGTGAATATTACATATATATATATATATATATATATATATATATTTGCTGTGGTTTATCCTCTTCTAGATTTATTGACTTTTTATTTCTTCGTCAGTGTTCACTATATTGTTATTCAAATGTGTCATATGAATTTTATTGGAGATTTTTGTCTATAAATAAGTTTTTATATATAAATCTGAACAATTTCTTGCTTTTATGTCATCCCACTGGCATGAATTCAAAACAATACAAATAATTATCAATTTATTTCACCTCTGAAAGCCAGACAAAAAGTCTAGAAAATACACACTGTACTTCAAAATTCTGTCTGATATCAAAAACAATAAGCAAATATAGGCATTGGATTGAGAATTAGAAATGGATTCATTTCATAAACCTATCACAAAGAGATGGGCAACTTTGCCATTTTTTTTTTTTTATTTAAGAGGAAAAAGAGAAAAACACAAAACAAACCAAAGCGGCGTAAGGGTACACGCAATACAGAACTACAAAACAAAACAAAACAAAACAAAACAAAAAACCATAACAGTAAGAAATTACCTGCTAGTAGATTACACACTATTTTCTTGAAAATAGTTCCTCAAATCACAGTATCAAAGAACACAAGGTGGACATTCAAACAGGGAGACTGCAAACAGCTGTGTTCAATGTTCCAAAAACATTGATAAAGTCAGCTATTTAACACCCCCAAACACACTTGCTGTTATATCCGTTAGAGCTCTTTTTCTTTTTTTTTTTCCCTCTCTTTTTTACAACAAAATTTACACATCTTGGATTTTATTACTCCTTAGTGCTTATTACTTTCTTTGGGGGGGGGAAGAATACAGTCAAATATGGCAAAACAAAGCTGTCAGTCAATACCAAGGATAGACATAGCACATGGTGTAGAACAGAGTACAAGTTTATCAACAATGGTTATCAACGTTGTCCCTTGTTTCCTTAAGAAGAATTGTCTATCTTATTAGATATTATAAAGTTGGACAAAACAGTAGAGAACAAGACCAATAAAACTTAGGCATTGTAAACATTACAGGACTTCCAAAGAAGACAATAGTCAAACCAGAATGGGTATCTTAGTGAATCTTACTGTCTTCAAAGTAGTTGCCTATGTCTTCAAACTTGATACTATCATATAGAATGGAACAGAGTCTAATCAGTCAAAACAAGATCGTGGGAGTACTACAGGACTTCAAAACAAGTTAATAGGAAATCGAAAAGAGTTACTATTTATATATCCTAATTTTTTTTGAATTTTTTCTTTAATTAAGACAAACATAAGAAATGACTAAATAATTTTTTTTGAAACAATAAGGGGGAGATTGAGATAAAACAGGACATAACAATATAACAATAGAGGTCACAGCATGACTGTTTCAACAACCTAGTACTTCACCACCTTATAACCTGACTTAATAGTAGTTACCATAGTGTCTTTTTCCTTGAAATATTTGGGTAAAACTTCATATACTCTAGCTTCAAATATTTTCATATCAAGAAGCCCAGAATAAAGCCTTTCTAATTAATGAGTGAAAACTTTATAAGGCTTCAAGGCCACCTAATGGGGAATCATGATTACCACATATTTTTATATATTTGAATCATTACTTACATTAGGGAAACTATTCGGTATTCACACATGCGAGATTGATTTATTTCACTTATGAGTATGGTCTCAAGCTGCGCCCATTTATTGATAAATATCTCAATGTGATCCTTCTTTATAGCTGAATAATACTCCATTGTATAGAAATACCACAACTTTTTTATCCATTCCTCAGTTGATGGGCACTTGGGTTGTTTCCAAGATCTGGCGATTACAAATTGTGCTGCTATAAACATAGGTGCACATATATCACTGTGGTATGATGCTTTCAGTTCTTCTGGGAATATGCCTAGAAGTGGAATAGCTGGAATAAATGGGATTTCCAGTCCCAACTTTTTGAGAAATCTCCAGACAGATCTCCACAAAGGCTGTACCAGTCTACACTCCCACCAGCAGTGCAGGAGAGTTCCTTTTTCCCCACAGCCTCTCCAGCATTTGTTGTCGGTTTTCTTGATCCTGGCCATTCTTTCAGGAGTGAGATGGTATCTCAGTGTGGTTTTAATTTGCATTTCTCTAATGACCAATGATGATGAGCATTTTTTCATGTATTTATTTGCCATTTGCATTTCTTCATCTGAGAATTGCATATTCATCTCAGATGTGGGCAACTTTGGGCAAGTATCAAAATCTCACTGGGTTTTAATCTCCTCGCTATGTAAAATGAAAGGCTTTGTACAAAATTGCCTTGAAGAACCTTCCTTTTCTCAAGTTGTGTGGTAATTTCCCTTCCAATAATATGTTTTCATGTGAATAGAATGTACAAGAAGGATTTCTGTGGAAAAAAATCCCCGTATATATGTAAAGACCAAATTTTGTTAACTTACATGCTTTCAATCACTGGTTTCTAGTTCTGTGTAGACATACTTATTTATATATAAATGGTACCAAGCTCATTAGAATCAATTAATTATAATCAAATCACCACTTGATTTGCAAAAAATTCAACTGTCCACCAAATGGATATGAATAAATTTTAATTTTTGAAACTAATAGTTTGGGACCTGATATCCAGTATTTCAGCTGCCTAACCTTCAGCCACCTCACTGTTGAGAAGATGAAATTCTGCAAGGAAGAAACCACAAGAGACTTGCAAAACATCTCACAGAATTTTAGCATGATATCATGATATTTTTATTCTTGTATATTTAAAGAAAAATATTTCTGGATAAAATATTCATTTTAATTCAAATGTTACTGTTTTGCAAAAACAACAATTCCTAATTTTGAGTGTTGAGTGATAACTTCAATCATTACTACACTGGACAATTTTAAACCTGACACATTTGATTTGTTGTTTGATGATAGTACTTGAATAAACAAAAACAAATTTTAAAATTATAAACCATATCACTTTTCTGACTATATACTAAACTCTCTACATTATTAAAAAATTAAAGCTCATAACTACTTTATAAAAATTTTACTCACTTTGAAGATAACAATATGCAATATTTTAATTAGTGTTAATTTTCTAGTATTTTGTTTTGAAATTCTGTGCCATTGTTAAAAAACACATTCTTCCTTGTTGCTTTGTTTTTAAAATAAAAATAAAATTACATATTCAAACATTTATTTACTCAGGATTTCCATTATATAAAGAAAATTCAAATATCAATGGTTATAGAGAAATGACAGAGTTGATAAGGCTGATTGCAAAGTCCACACTGCATTCTACACACAACAGTACACTCGGGCAGTGCAAAATCAGTACACACAGCTTTTGGCTACGCCAGGCTACATCTAGTGATGCAGAGCCAGTTCACATTCAACTTCTATAGGTTTTCCCAGGTTCTGTGACTCTGAATATATTGGTGAATACTCACATTTTCATACATTATTGCCCAAATTCTCTCAACACTGTTATTTTCATATTTTCATGTTCAGCGGAACCAAATGATATTTCATCCACACTTTAGTCTGTGTTTTATACCTGGCACTTTTCCTATTTCTAAGGCCTTTGTTGACAGCAGAATGCCTACTTTACTGGGATCTTAGCTTAGAGAACTGAACTAGGTAAGGATTCCCTCAAGGGCATAGACATTGAACTGAATAACCACTGTAATGGGTGAGGTTGCACAGAGAAAAACGAGGCAGAAAACTTATATTCATGAGAACAGAATGCATCAGATCATTTTGCAGACATAAAATGTGGGGCCGGATGAAGCTTCACTAACCAATTAATTCAAATCATATGCCATGCAAGTAAAGGGAGTAATACACACGGTATTCATCCATGCATCTAGCTTCTCAGTAGTAGCATTGTATTTCCTAAGTTCAGGTTTATATGCATTAGTGCAAAATGAATTTCACTACTCTAGCATTTCATGTGTTAGTTAATTTGTGGTGGTCAATACCCAGGTACCATCATGGTTACAAAAAGGCTTTGGAGTCAGAATAGCCCAGGGGAGCAAAATGATTATCCTGTTATAGAACTTTCTGAAAGTAGATCAATCTCTATAGGTCAATATCATTATTTGTGAGGCTAGATGCTGAGAACTGTTGCCTTCCGTACTGCTGCAGAGATGAAGTTTTATGGACACTTTGTACCCATGTCCGACCCAGAGTAAACACACACAAATATCTAGGGGTTCTCCTCCTCCTCCTCCTCCTCATTATCATTAGCATCATCACTGTCATAATTTCTTTAAAAAAAAAAAAAAACCAAAACAGAAAGGATAGAAATGATACAGAATTTCTTTTCTGTGTGCCTAATGAAATCATATACACTTTGTACTTATATTTTCTTTCAAAATAAAGCACAAATTAGAAAATTATGATTCAAGTACTAACAAAAAACTAGACCTCAATTTACCGGAATATTCATGGTGGATTTATTTTTTTCTTATCAGTGAAATGGGAAAGATGTTTATCTCTCTATGTATTTGAAATTTAATGGTCAGTTCTCTAAAAACACAGATTTAAAATAATTGATCATTCTGTTCAAAATGTCCAATATAATTGCACTCAAAGCAGAGAGTATCATAGATTCTAATAATATATGTTTTAATTAAAATTCATGATTTTCTACAAGAATGAGAAAAGGCAAAGCTTCACGTTTTTTTCTTTCCCAAAAAAACTAGTTCTGGAAGAATGTCCATTTGGAATTTGCTAACTGAGAGCTAGATTTGTGATATTCGCTGA